TTTCAGAATATGTTGTTTAAATAAATGTTTGGGTAGTGTCACCTCCAAGGCTCTGTACATCAGCGCAGAGAAATGGGATTGTTCATATTCCCCCATTATATAAAAAATGCTAGTAATGCGGTTACTGATTATTGCGGTCTGTTTGCTCAGGCACTGTGATGTTTACAAGAACGAATCGATGATAGGAGATGGGAGCAACAGGAAATATTGAACACAACACTGTACATTTACTTCCACTTTACAACTTAACAAATTTCAGCCAACAGCTGTCTGCTCTGAATGCATCCACATCTCTTTCTGTCTCTGTCTCTCTCTCAACCACGCACACCACATAATTACCACTCACCTGACGTTTTGCCTAAAAGCAGCTACGTCACTCTTATAACACTATTCTCCACTCCAGTGCCAGCCTGTCACTGTCACTATGTAGGACAGGGGAGCAGTGGATGACAATCCGCAGCCTCTTTTATTACTGAAAGATAAAACTCATGTTTCTTCACGACTCCAGAGCTGAGACGCTGTCGCTGCCATCATTTATTTGTATTTCTGCTGAGTCACTCTGCTGAAAGAACACCTGAGCAGGTAGTTGGCGGCTCTCAATAACCATTATAAGGTGTTTATTTCATTTGGAGTCCCTCAGATACATATTTTGGTTTCTTGTAAGTGGGATAAGGGCTTATCTGGGATTCTGAAAACAGGATATGGTGTTTACATGCACAAAGACATCAACAGGATACTCCAAAAACACAATCATATACGGGTTAAGGCCTTTGCACACTGAATAAATTTTTTTCATCATCGATTTTCTGCATTTTTCGCATCCGTCAGAACCTTTTAGGGACATTTGATTTGGCGGTGGCACACAGCAGCGGCAAGACAGAGGAACGGGGCACACAGAATAATTTCATAGCTCAGATAGCTCACTTTCAGGAAGTCAGATAGTGATATTCAGGTGGATGATGGTGACGAACCACACACAGAATGTGGAGACAGAGAGGGAGGACAGCTCCACCCTGTCATGTAGCTGTGGTGCCAAACTAAAGACAGACAGGGAGGGAGTGGTGATGGCCAGATAGGTAACTCCAGTGGAGAGGCAGAGGAGGAAATGCACCTTTTAATTTTGTCATGTATTGCCAATTTTCACAAAGAATAGAACAATAAAACGCATCAGAATCAGTGTGCAAGACTTAAAAAAGAAACATTCGAAAAACATGGACTTAGTGTGCAGACCTTTATTCGTGTCCATGTAAACACACTCAGAATAACCTTGAAAGAGTTTGTGCAGCTCAGCCTTTGTCTCGTCCCTGTGTTTGTGTATATGTGTGTGTTTTAGTAACTGCAGAGCAACGATTTATCTGTTATCTGTTTAGTTATCTGAACTTTCTGTCAAAAAATATTGTGTGGACATGTAACATTTTGTCCTTCTCACTTTCTATCTTTTAAGTCCTTGTTTTCTCTCCTCATGTCCCTCTGTCCTTCTTCTATCATTATGTCAGCGTCAGTGTTTTGTGACTCAGATCTGACCTCAGCTGTTCCACCGGTGGCTGACATAAACATCCACGTCATTCAGGCGTTTGCAGGCCAAGTGTACTTTTCTCTATCAAAACTTCACTGACACTGTTTTTTGAGATAATGTCATGTGTTTTCTTTATTTGGTTTAAGCCAAATTTAAACAAAAAGTTCATTTGTGGGAAACCTAACATTTAGATTCTCAAGTTTCATCCGTGTTTGTCACCACCTATCCCATAATACTACATGCAGACTGTTATTTGCTTCTCAAAGACTGAATACAAATAAGCTATTCTGCCTTTGAATTCATTACGAATATACAATTTTAAGTCAAATATTTGTCTTGTGTAGAAATGCCAAGTACACATGGAATTATACATTTTCTATCTGATAAAAAACATACTTTTTTATGACAAATTATGTTTTTGACACTTAGATATTCATCAGAAATTGTGTGCAACTACTCCTGGTTTTATTCTCTTCCCTAGCCATTTTTCTCCTTCTCATTCCCTATGAGAGGCCAGACCTCTCCTCATGTTGAGCTGATTATGTGGTTAACCACAGATATTGATCCACAGCAGACATTTTGGTTTCAGAAATTATTTTGCAACATTTTATATTGGCTTGAGAAATGGAATAAAAGTGAATAACTTGAGATCCTTTTACAACTCAAAATGAACTGTAAACTAGTAAGTCCAGGTTTACAGTTACACAACACATTGAAAGGACCAGAGTTGGGTTTCACAGTGGCAGTGACAGACAACAAAAGTCAGGCTTTGGCTCTTTAAAAGTTTGTAGCTCAGTGTTTATGCGGAGGACGGCAGATTTATTCAGCTCGGATATGGAATAAATCCAACTGATTCAAACCCACTGACTCTGTTTCTTCTCAAACCATTGTATGCTTTCTGTGTTCCAATATTTAGCTGCATTTTCACCAAAAATGGTGAGAGACATCTGAGAGAATATGATTGGATGTCAGTAGTCAGCTGGTAGCCAAGCAGCCAATGGATAAGCAGCTGATACCAACAGTAGTGTAATGAAGTAATAATACTTTGGTATTTTTTGAAAGTATCTAAACTTTACTTAAGTTTTTGTATTTCTGTCAATTTTTACTTTTACTCCACTACATTTTTTACATGAAATGTATACTTTTACTCCATTAGATTTCCCCTAAACATCTTGGTTAATTACTACAAATTAGGGAAGAAAGGGAGGAGGAAGGGACATACAGACAAATGAAGGAATGGGAGGGAAGGAAAAACTGGGTTTTGTTGAGTTCTGGAAAAAAGAACTTGTTTTGTGTATCATCAAAAATTCTGACCACTAGTTTTTACTTTTTCTTTCAATACATAAGTGCATTTAATATCAGAAAATTACTTTTGATACTTTTACTCAAGTGCGGCTTTCATGTACTTTATCCATCTTGCTGCATTCACATGCTCCCAGGAGGGTCCCATTGTCTGCGTTGGGAAGTCGTTCTTCTGACTTTGTTGTGGTCATGAGCTTTAAGTCCTAATGTGGAAACAACGTGGATGCTACATAGATGATGTGTTGTATTTTATTGCACAGTGTTTAAACAACAGGTTGATAACAGTTTGAATCTTTATATTAGAGACTGACTTTGTCCCAGACTTGTTGCTGCACCAGTACATCCCCTGAAACTATACCATATTTCAATCAGGAGAGACAAAAGAATGAAATAAAAAAAATAATATTTAATACAAAATATGAGTGAACAGATTAACAGATGATTTATGCTGGTTAAGATTTAACAGAATTCTTTGGCGCTTGGACACTAGCAGGAGATATTTTGTGATTGAGGGACATCTGAGCAGCAGCAGGATAAATCCCCCAATGGAGTCCAGACACTGGTGGTGGTGGTGGTGGTGGTGGTGGCTGATGACTCTGAGGCTGATGGCTGCTGAGGCTGATGAGGCTAATGAATCTGTAAAGACTAGGTGGTGATGGGGAGGTGGAGGGCGCACACAACGGCAGCAACAAAGAACCATATTTAAAATGAGGAGCAGTAAGATGATAGACTGACAGAGAAGGTGTGTCGCTGTGCTATTGGTTGATTGTGAATCAGATGATGAGTCAATTGACCTACCCAAACAATGACACCTAGAGATAGTGATTGAGCATAGGTGCAAGGAGTGAATGGCAGGGTGAGAAACAAACTTACAGCCTGAGCATGGAAAGTATTGTCTTCCTGACTGAACTTTTACTAGAGCTTCATTACAATAAAATTACATATGGGCAAAATATTGACATGCAATATATGAATTAATAAAAGGTTTATCACCATAAACTGAACTTTAACTTTCGTCTGCCACGTTTCTCATTATATGACTTCAGCTTGGAAACTCGTGTACCAAAATTTTTGCTGACTTTCTGAGTTGTTGTTCCGACCTGAGGGGGCATCCACGTACATTTTCCCAGTCGGAAACTCATTTTTCCGATTGTTCTGACACCACATGAATGCAGGGTAAGCTCCATTTGCTTTCAACAGGGAAATATCTTGAAACCTTTCACAGCCACCTTCTAGCTTACAGGTGGACTCGCAACATATATTTTTCATGGAATACTCCCTTAGATTACATCAGATCTGTCTAGACTCAGTCAACACATTTTCCACATTTCCACAATCAGAGGCGTGTGCTCATTTTCAGGTGCAGCACTGCTGTAAGTCTGCAGTAGCATGTGTGACCACATACTTTACATTATACAGCAGTGTTTCCGCAGTCTGACACTGTTTGCTTTAAGGCCAACTCCTTTGGCAGTATCAACACAGCACCATGGCAGGGTGTCCAACTGTCTCTCTTCAGCTACTCCCCAATCTGCCAAACCTCTTTTTCCCTGTTTTTGAGTGTATATAAATGTGTTCCCAACCATTTTCTTCAGAAAAAGCCTCCCGTGCTGCTCCTTTGAGTGTTTTGGCTTCCTCAACATTGAATTCTTACAAGGTGTGGGGTTCGGTACCAATTTGGGTGGTGTACAGTTAATGACGTGTTGTATAAAGTCAGTTGCTGTTTCACACAGTTATGAAAACATGACGTTAAATGCATTCATCTTGTGTGGTTTATTAGGCCCTCTGGTTATATTCTGCGGACGTCATGCTTTTCATTTCAGTCCTTTCCAGCAAAGAGTGTGTGATGACAACCTCCTCAGACACACAATACTCCCATCAGATTCAGCACACAAAACCAACTGTTCTCATACTTTACACCACTGTGGGGCTGTTTTCTCCTGAGTGAGCAGAGAAAACATTTGAGCAGGACAAAAACCTTCCTATGTATTGTGCTGAGATAGCAGCCCCACACTGGATATGCTCAGTAGTATACAGGGTCTTCAGGGGAAGGCTTTTGGGGGACTGTGAGGCAGCTGGTTTTTCTGATTTATGACAGGAGTAATAAAACTTGTTGGTGGCTCCAGCAAAATTGGTTTCAGTCAGCTAAATGTCTGTTCTGTTTCTATCTTTCTTTCCTTTTTAGCAGACAATTATGGTGGATATGAGAACCAGCTTTTCAAAGGTAATGATCACAGTTTTCTATTGTCTGAGAAACAAATGTTTTTTATATGTAATTGTCACATCACCACATGATAAATATGTTACAGACAATATGGAATCTAATGTTAGTTGTTGCTGCCCTTACTTGATCTTATAAGATTCACATTAGCCCCTTTTACTGCCCGTTCAAGGTGGGAATATTGCACCGTTATGCCACCTCGCCATTCTGTATATAAGGTACAGTTGCGAATATGGGGGACAGAGTGATCTCACCTTTAAGCAGCCATGGGAGGTAGTAACAGCTCTGGAACTATGTCTGTATAAACAGGACAGCCTGCAAGACAGGATCATGGGCGGCACAGGTGTGACATTTTGACAATGTGTTATGCGTGTTACTCACCCTCGGAGATTTAAAAAGTAGCTGCTAGCAGTTAGCAGCTAACTGAAAAAAGAAGCACAGTGGCCATAAATGTCTGCAAATCTGGAAAACAATGAGGTCTGGGAGCTCCTTACCCTTCGAGCAGAGCTGTAGGAGGTAAATGACACGTTAATGTCATGGTTGTTGTTTAGAAAGCACTGCTGATGCATTTGTTTTATGTCACACTAGAGGCTAACTCTATTAACTTAAATGTCATACCTGTCATGCCTCTTTTGATTTCACAAAGCTGCGATGCAGTCTATAACCACACACTGGAGCAGAGTGACGCCACCGTCAAGTGGCTCTGTGTAAAAATGCAAAGGAGGCATAAAGAAGGGACTTTGTAATGACTCAGTAGTGTGATCTCTGTGCAAAAAGGGCTCGATAAATTTCAGAGAAAAATACGAGGCTGAAGCTCTCTTTGAAGGGTATTCTATTATATACTAAAGGAATACATTGACATGTGTGAGACATTTATAAGCTGTCTTTACAAGAGTAGCATGAGATAACTGACACCACTCTCATGTCTGCGCGTTAACGATGGACCTAGAGCCAGAAGGAAATTAGCTTAGCTTAGCATTAAGACCTAGCATTGAAATATCCACCCAGTAGTGCCTCTATGTGTACATCTTGACATCTTGTATCTTGTTTGTTGAAACTGTGCACAAACAGAAATACAAAAATGGTCAATTTCTGGTATTAGAGGGAGACCAGGCAAGCTATTTCCAACCTTTATGCTAAGCTAAGCTAATTACCTCCTCACTTTAGCTTCATATTAAAGGGACATATATGAAAGAGAATATAACTCTCGGCAAGAGACCATACTTTTTTCAGCCAGGTCTGTGTCATTGAGCTGTAGAGAGTGTGTGCAGATGAACGGGTCCGCCAGCCAAAATCCACTTGATGACACAAAATGACAGATTTTGCGTCACCCAATAGATTTTTTCTCATTGCAAAGGCGGGGAGTTTTTGTCCCTGCCAGCACAGAGAGCACCTTTACACAGTTCATCTGCACACACTCCCCATACCTCGGTGACACAGACCTGGTTGAAAATTAGCAAAGTAGCCCTCCTTTAAATAAAAAAAAGTTTCAGTGATCTACATTAATGTGACTCCCTTTTAGATTTTTGTTTGTTTTACCTTTTTTTTCCACCACGTTAACTAATCAGAATGACACCACAATGAACACTACAAATATTAAAGTTTGTATATTCAGTGATTTCTTCATTTGGTCAGTAGTAGAGCATAATGTTTTCAAATTGTCATGTTTACATTTTTCCTTGTCTTGTTTTTCAGAGGAGGATTTCACTGGAGAGGAGGAAATGCCTACATTTAGAGGTGAAGGCCACACACGCGTGCACGCGCGTGCACACACACACACACACACACGTCCAGCAACAACAAATAATGTAATCTGCATCATGGGTTTTTTCACCAGGGACATACTGTGTATACATATGCCATGTGTGTATATGCATGGCTTAAGCGTAAATGTCTGACTCTGCTCTACAGAGTTTCACTCTTTTTATGTGTTTTTACATTTGCCATGATAAGAATACTCCATTACATTTAAGAAGGAACTTTTTAATGAACGTGATCATCTGATAAAATATGCTGTATAGATGAAACTCGACCAACACAGTAAAATTTAGCCTCACTTCAGCCGTTTAGCCAGACAGCATTAAAATGATCTGATATAGAAAGCTGAAACGATAAATCAGTAAGTCAGTTGACAGAAAAAGAATCAGCAACTGTTTTGATAATTAATTAATTGTTTAAGTCATTTTAAAAGAAAAAGGCTCAGACATTTTCTAAGTCTTGTATGATCACAAACTAAATAACTTTTGGTTTTGAGCTGTTAGTTGGAAAACAGGCAATTTGTAGACATCAGCTTGAGCTTTGGGAAATTGTGATGACATTATATAGACTAAACTATTAATTTGGTCAATCAAGATAATATTTACATCCTACTTATGACACTTATAGTACATTTATTTTTATTATATTGCAGAATATTTTTATTGTATGTACTGCTTTTTACCCAAGTATAAGATTTGTATACTCCTACCACTGGTTTTATTAATCTCCAAACAGCCAAAACTGATAGAGATTTTGTAATTTTTTACAAAGTTGAATAATCAAATCAAATGTAGTCTAACATTTTTGTTTCTATTTCTGTGTCATGGTGACTCATTGTCCCTCCAGGTCGCAGCAGAGGAGGCTGTATGAGGTGCCAGCAGAGCCACTCTCTCCAGCTGGCTGTCAAAGTCCTCTATGGATTTGTTGCGTTCCTCATCATTACTGTGGCAGTGCTGGCGGCACTGGGTGAGCTTTTTTTTTAACAATTAAGTTGCAATGAATGAATCATGTCAAGTTAAAGTCTCTAAGCCAAAAAATACCCCATATATTATCTCTATACTCCCCCACGGAGACATTAATCTCTCAGGTTGGATGTGGTCAACAGCTCGGTGATTAATTAGGCCTATCCACTGATTAATGCTGACACTTTGCTCGAGGCTTTTCATGGGAAAAGATCAGGCTCTACTTTCCTATGTATGTGTGTGTCTTAATAAAACTCAGTCCATTTAACTCCCATAGATCAAGTGAATGTGATCCCGGGCCCCGTGTGCCATGTTTTACCTGACAGCTGCTCAGCACCAACAGATGCTTTTCACATTAACATCACATTTTATTGGGTATGAAGGCCGTAAATCTTCCATCTTTTACTACTGTTCAGGGATCTCAGGAGTAGAGAGAGAGAGAAAGTAGGGCGTAGTGAGAGTGATGTAAAATCCCACAACACTCGAACCAGCTCATATTCAGGTACAGAAGCATAATAAAACATTATTTAATCACACATGTGCTGGAAACATGTAGACATACTGTACATGCTCACTTAAGTTTGTGTTTTGCCACCAGCACTAGGTGTCAGTTAAACAGTCTGTTGCCATAGCAACCACTGCTGGCGGCATTCCATAGCAGCACCTGTCGCATCTTATACCACCAGGAAAGCATAGGGTCGGCTGCTGGGTGCAACTCTTATGCCAACTATGAAGGGCACAGAGGCAGGTTGTGCCTGATGTTGCTGAGCAAGCGTAACCTATTTACCAGAAATCCCAAATTCGGAGTTTTTCTTCTGGGTTTTGTTTTTTTAAGTGCATGTGCCAGGTTGTAAAGCTCTGGGTGGCCCTGCACTAAAACATCCATGGATACTGTAGACTGATATGTACGGAAGAAAGGAAAGATATCTGCCAGCTGTGATTGGTTGGTCCTTGTCCCACGACATGTGGTGCACATTGCTGTGTTCCAAAAGTTGAACTTTGTTTATTTCAGAGTGCAGCTGTTGCACCCTGAAGAAAAAGGCACTTGGGAATGCTTGTGTGCTGCGATGGTGTTGCTCTTGCTTTTGGGCACACCTTCCACACGTCTGCAGACACCAGTGGATTTGAGGGTGCCAAACATGCGGAATGTGTCCACTCTGTGTATCATTGTTACATTGTGAGATATGCAGATATTGACAGGAATCTTTTATCCACTCCTGAATGTCCTTGTTGCATAGTTACTTCACTTTCAATAGCTGTATACTGTTGTTTGTAATTTTAGATGTTAAAATGTTTATCTGCGATCAGTTTACTGCAATCCAAGCCAGCCTTGCACTAAAGCCAGGCTCAGACTACAGGAGTTTGGGGCAGATTTATCCTCGATTCACCCTTCCCAACAGTCTGAGGACAAATCTGGTGTGGGACCTTGGCCTCGCAAACTGCTCGCAGACTCATTGGGGCCGCTGGATAATTCCAAACATGTTTGATATTTAGGATTAGAATCTGGATGATTATGATTATGTCAGTATGGAGCAGCTGACCATGTTGCCAAGTCATTCTCCCATCCAGACTAGTTTGGCCTTCTGCTTTTGTTTTTCTCAGTGCAAAGCTTTATCAACACTACAGCAAGTTGTGGCACCTTGTCAGTCTCTGGTTTGTTTACATCTGCCTCCCACGTAAGGGTTGTGCATTTTAGCTCCCTCTGGAGGATATAATATTCCAGTTATTTGTTTGGGGTTTTAAAAAATCTATTAATCTATATTTTTATTTACGATTATTATATCCAAAAATGTGCTATTGATAAATATCAGTCAAAAAAAGGATAGTTAAGCACTTTGTGGTAAAGTTTGTTGTAAACATTACCAGTAAGAGGTATCCACTGGTTTACACAGCATTTTTTGTTAGTTATACTACCAGTAATATTGAAAACAAATGCATCATAGCGCCAGAAGGGTTTAATTGATACCAGCTATTGGATGCTGTCAAATATTAGAAAAACAGGAAGTGTTTTGTTGCTAAGTCAAATGTCTGTGTGAAGATGGGAAATCACCCTGCATGTCAGTGGAGAATTTCAGCATCCTGTGGACAAGAACAATATTGTGGGGAAACATAATAATCAATTGGTAAATGTCAACATTTTTATGTAGGACACTGAGCATCAGCAAAGACAATTGAGTATCCAGAGACAAACAAAACATGCACACCACATACACAAATCGCTGCTCTTTTATGATGCTTTACACACAGAAACTGTGCTTGGTTTATGTTTGTATCAACTTCCAGCACAGCTGTATGACACCAAAGCCCTGGAAACTTAAGTATAAACAGAAAAGATATTTCACTTGGCTGCAGTTCCTAGCTGTGCATGTGCACAAGGAAAAAAAAGAAACAAATAACCTTTGATTTTTTTTTGTTCTCTGTCGAACATCTGTTTTATAAAAAACAAATTCTGCACCAAAAATCTGTTGAGTAACAAACGTGGAATGAAGTAACACATTTTCTGAGCTTGAGAGGAGGATTGTTGGAGTGAAATGCATTTTCCTAAGCCGTCACGTCCAGTGCATTAAAAAACAAATACTGCTGGAAAAGCATTCGAAGAAATCTGTGTTTACATTGTTTAAGCATTGTTGCACAGAATTCAGCTAAAGCCAGGAGCCATGTTCAGCATCACTGTCACAGCAGCTAATACAGCAGAGCAGGTGGTATGTGCAGATCGCATGTGGAAGCATTTATATATGCAAACACATTATGGAACAGATCATTAATACCTTGGGTCCGGCCCTAGGATGCTAACACACACTATACAAACTTACACTCTCACAAGTGTGCACTTGTACATACAAAACCTCGTGCTCATTAAGTTGTTGTTGCTCTCTTGGGAAATATGTTGGGAGAGCAGGACCTGGCCAGCTGGCTGACCCATCATTCATCAGTGTTTTGGTTATATTTGTTAGCTAATGAAAACTTTACGTGTTTTGTTATCAGGGCTTAAATTACAACTTCCTGTTTTCACTCCTTTAAATACTTCCTATATCCTGTTAACACCAAAGTACTGCTGATGTTAATCATTTTTGTATTTACTCCGTCAGAGGTCAGAACCATCTGCCATGGTTACTTTCAAGGTTATATTTTTAAAGCTAATGAGTTAATTTCGCATTTAATTACACTGACTTTCACAAAACAAACAGAAATCCTGAACTTGGTAATAACAGTGTAATTTTATAACCTTTGAACATTCATATTTAATCAACTGTGTCTCCAGTGTTCAGGAAGGTTGACAGCCTGTCTGAGGAGGAGTCTGTCTACCACAAGAAGATCACCAGTGTTCAGCAAGGAATAGAAGGTAAAGTAAGGCGTGTTGCTGCCAAACACTTTTGGCATAGTACCATTACAAACAGTACGTAACCCGCTCAAACATGTACCTAAACCCTAGATCTGTTTAGTGTTACCACCACAGACAGTACTCTGAACGTGGGCGGGGTTGTTGTTACACTCTGCTTCATTCAGCTCTTGCCATATTTCCTGTTTGCCAGAGATGCAGAAAAACATCTGCTCCTTGCTGATCGGCACAGGAACAGGGTTGCACACTGACGTTAAACTAAAAAAGAACAGGCTAGTGTGGGTAGTTTCTGTCGTAATCAGTGGGATATTTAAAATTGGCATGTTTTTGCATTGAGTCCATGAAGAGCAAGAGTGACGATTCACTATTGACCAATCAATGGACTGCAGGGTTTCTAGCTCCGTCTTTTGGTATCAGTTTAGTGTGCTCGGTATCTTGACAGAGGGGTTATGGGAAAAAATGGTACAGAATGGAGTGGTTCTATTGGTACCATCCACAACTTCTGACAATTGAACTGCAAAAATAATTGTAACGTGTAACAAAGTGAACTGAACTGAACACGACTGCTTGGTGGAAACGAGGCTTTGGGTGGCCTCCTAGACCCTAAACATAATGGGTAAACAATAGCAATGGAAACTCTCTTATGCACACAGAAAACATAGAATTCTTTTAGGTTTCTTTGAGTAAAAACTTATGAGAAAAAAAAACCAATTGCTTCCCTACTGACATACATTATACATTCTTAAAAAACTGTTCAGAAGCTCCCTAAACGGATTCATTTGCAGCAGTAAAAGAGCCAAAAATTGCGGTTTTCTTGTACTACAAAGAATATTTTTTTGTGTAGATCCCTCAGATTGTTCATTGTTCAGAAGTTCATGCTTGACATCGCAAAACGAACTCATTACAAGGTCTATTTTGTAGCTACTCTGGAGTTTTGCTTATTTGTCATGGGAACTTGTAATGTAGATGTTTAAGATTTCTAATTCTGTCAGGGCAGCCGAAGGACTTCTTGTTCACATTGGCTAAAACAATTTGATTTGACACTTAAGGTCCTTTTAGTAAGTGTTTAGAAGACTTAATTACCTTTACTGATTTAGTGTCTTCTGTTCCAATCTGCCGAGGAAGATGATACGAACCTGAACAGCCACTGCTTGGACTTTTTGAACTACATAGACCCAGCATATCTTCGCTGCTGGGAGGAAACCTCAACTATATATTTCATCGCTTTTATTTTATTTTTTCCATAAATAAATGCTATGTTGGTTTTACAAATATTCACCCAATAAGAAATATCAGAAAGAGCTTGTGACTAAAGCTCCACTCAATCCTAAAACTCAGCAAAACCTCATAGCTCTACCCTGCTTCCATTGAATGAAGTGCCACAATAGAGCATCATTGGTGTTGCATAGTAAAACGGTAATGTTGTCTGACTTCTAATTAAAGAACTGGTTGTTTTGGGATTTGTGCATGCTGAATTCAGATTGCTACAACCACCACTGATAGTCCATCACCAGAGCTTCTGCCCGCTGTTCTTTCAGTGAGTACTCTTCAAGTTGCAGGGAGTGAGGTGGAGGGGTTGTGTATTGTATTGAATGACAGAAAAAACTGAGCACACACGTAGCTACAATGAATGCAACCTGTAAGTTGATGATAATGTAATGCAGTGCACTTACTGCAGATGCAGCCGATCTAATCAATAGCAGGCAACACACGTGTCTCTACCTTTGCTGATCAGTAACCTCATAACTCCTTTGGGCTTTTTTTAATGAAGCATTGATGATATATTGACACATGCAAGTGTCAGACTTTGACTACACAGGGTTCAGTTATTATAAAAACACCCCTTTTTTTATTTTCTGAAAAGTAACATTTTTGGACACACAAGGTTTCCTCCTGGCAGCAACAATATGTACCAGGTGTTTTAAGGTCCTTCATGAAGTGTGAAGCAACACGGATGATTAACTGTGATGTCAGGGGAGCTTAAAAGATCTTTTTCTCCCTCACACATATGGTTACCAGAAGCTTTTATATTTATCATATACAGACATCTAGAATGTTTTTCTCTCCCGTCTCACTGTCTTTCTATCTTTGTCTGGCCCCTCTTTTTCTCTCTCTGACTCCATCTATCAGATCTGAGCTCCACCTCCAACTGTTCAGGCTGTCTGGATGTGACTCTGTACAGCGAGGAGATCAGTAGGCTGAAGAAAGAGTTTGAAGACATCCAGAGAATGATACTAGGACAGGAGCAGGTACTGTGTAGTGATCACAAGCTCTAAGAAACAGAGGGGACTTCTACAAGTCACCTTGTTTTGTGAAACCAAAAGTCCAAAACCTGAAGTTACTTACAATGCCTCTAAGCTGGTGATAGCTGTATCCAAGGGCATTGTGTCTGTCCATTCGTCCCATTCTCATATCTCAAGAACACCTTGAAGGAATTTTTTCAAATTTGGCACAAACATCCATTTGGACTCAAGGATGAACTGGTAAGATTTTGATGGTCAAATGTCTCTGTGACCTTACATCTGTCTCATTTTTGGTTGTTTTTTTTTTCAAATTTGGCACAAACATCCACTTGGACTCAAGAATGAAAATATGACATTTTGGTGGTCAAGGTCACTGTGACCTTACATCTGTCTCATTCTTGTGAACTGGATAGCTCAAGAACGCCTTGAGGGGAATTTTTTCAAATTTGGCACAAATGTCCACTTCAGTTCAAGCATGATCCGATTACACTTTGGTGGCCAAAGGTCAAGGTCACTGTGACCTTGTCCCTATTATTGTGAACACAATATTTCAAACACATTGAGGGTATTCCTTTAAATTTGGCACAGACATCTTTTGAGATTCAGGATTGAACTGATTAAACTATAGTGGTTAAAGGTCAAGGTCACCGTGACCTCACCAAGCACTTTTTTCAGCCATACCTCACAAAATTTCACACAAATGGGTCTAATGGGATACAATGATAAAGTGAAGACATTTTATATCCAAAGGTCAAAGGTCAACTTCAATGTGACATCATAATTTACTGAAAAAATACTTAACAGCCTATGACGCCATTCATTTCTGATCACAGCCTCTTCCTCTTTGACCCCTGTCCCCCTCCAGGTCCTGGACCAGGCCTCCCAGACCCAGGGCACCATCAAGGCCACCACCACCCGACTGACACGTGACATGCAGAACCACCTCATGTCAATCAAACTCCTCAACCAGTCGCTGGAAAGATACCTGGATCGGGTGGAGGGCTGGAAGGACGTGATCGAGGAAACTGAAGAGAAAATGAAGAAAATGGTGGACGATCAGTACGACATCAAAGCTACAGCTCAGCAGGTTAACACGACGGTGGCACTCAGGTGAATAAAAGAGATGCAAGGAAGAGATACGGAGTATTTGATTGCTTGGAAAAAAAAAAGTTTTCCTTATAGAGTCTATTTTAAGTCTCCTTTTGTCACTAAAGCTGTAAGGGAAGCTGTAGTGGCAGTTATCATTTTATGAAGACGGTTTCATCTCGTCTTCTACAGTATTTGTATGTTTGTCAACCCCATACTAGATTATCATCTTGCCTTGTTAGCTACATGTACACATGTTGATGACCTCTTAGTGAACTGACCAAGTGGGAACTATAATCAGTGGCTGACAGACAGCAAGAAGCCAGATTAATCTTTCTGACAAGCAAATCAATATTTATGAGGGCAGAGTCGGTATAAATGATAACTGAGATCCGTTTGAAAAAGGCACAGCTGGAACTTATAATGCTGATTCAAACCTACTGTAGAATATGACTGATGTAGTTTATCATCCATCTTCTTTTCTGATTTTGAAATACATACATTTCAATGGGCTGATTTTTTTGTGCACAAGATTTATACTCATGAAAAACTTAAATAATATATCTAGTTAACGCAGTGATTTAACAAAATATATACTCATACACTTTTCGGCTTCTTCTATAGTTTGTAAAAAGTAAACTAGCATTGCACCTCACATGTCTTATGCTCCCCTCTTCTCTCCAGTACACTGTGGATAGATGCACTGCAGAGGAAAGCAGACGAGGAGACTCTGGTGCTCCAGAAGTTGACCAGCGACTGGCAGAACTACAGCCGAGTTCTGAGCACCCTCAAGTCCAACACGAGCAGCACCACGCAAACGGTGCGCTTCCTCCAGAACAACATAGTGGCAGATCACCAGAGGATCGCCATGTCCACTGAGGTGTACTATGACCTCACCCAGCAGGTGTGTGTGTATAACTTTTACTAACAAACAGAACAGCTGTGATTGGAGGGCTTTTAATGTGAAAGTGTAGGTTAAATTATGGCGACTGGACATAGATGGGGGAAAAAAAGGTTGATGAAAGAGGTAATAATATGAAGTCAATTTTCTCAATAAGAACAATAAAACGCATCAGACTTTGTGTGGTGTCTGTGTGTAAACGTTTTTATCAGGTGACAGATTTTAAAAACGCATATGAAAAATGCAAGCTTAGTGACCAAAGGCCTTTAGATGATAGGTACCGATATGTTAATGAGGATACTCACACATAACAAAAGTACAACATTAGCTGTGTTCGAAATCACTCTCTATCATGGATATAGTGTACTATATAGTGTGTTCGCCATTTTGTAGTGTTGTTCGAATTCTCCGCGGTTAATTTCATTCACTATATAATGGACTATAAAATACCCACAATGCACAGCAAATGTGAGTGAACAAACGATGTACCCTACATTTTACTCCCGTATACCACAACGCAATGCGGTCGTCTTTTGCCAGAGGAGAAGAAGAAAGGCGCAACAAGCCAATAGTTTGCTTATATTAGCTAGCATGTTAGCTTAGATTTTTTTTAGGCTAATTACCAGTTGACGTCGGCGAATCAACAAAAGGCGCCTTAAACGCCTAAGATACGTTTGCCTTCGCCTCCGTCTTTGCCTGAGGAGCAGGACTTGGGTCAGCAGCATCCAAACAATCACCGGAATCATTATTTTAATACACAAAAAGAAAAGAAACGAATAGGATGCTAGCCGGTAACGTTAGCTCACAAGCTAACAATAGCCACTTAGCTCATGCGAGCCAGGTAGCTTGTAGCTCGTGCACTATCGTGGGCTATTACAGCTCACAATGCAGACACACAACTGTAGCTGACAAAACCAAACGTCCACACCATTGACATTTCAGCAATTTATTGACAAAAAGTACAACCACCATACAGTTCGTTCATCCTCAAAGCGCCGGTTTGTTTACATGATGCTCGGCGTGTCCACTGCATCACAGGAGTATGCGGCACAGCTACTGACGCAACGACGTTCAGAAAATTTCAGTAAGTGTCCGAAATCTCGTTCAGTCGTTCCCCATGTAGTGCACTATATAGTAAACACGAAACAGGGAATAGTGAGTGAGTGAGTGAGTGGACGGTTTCGAACACATCTCCTATGTCTGTATTTTCCCCAGGTGATGAACCTGCAGATGCAGCTTGACAATGCGACGTCCTTCATGGATGAACACGAGGAAAACATGCATGACCTTCACTACCATTCCAGGTAACACGTGTACTACTACAAATGAGAGGACACTGTGCTGACTCACATAAATTCCCTGGAGGTGAACTGTAACCTTTCATGCCTGATCCCTACCCTTACCCTCAACTTGACTTGAGTCAAATTCTAACCGCAACCCTAAAAACAACTTATAAAAGATGACTAACTTTGTGGGGATCAGTTTTTTGTCTCAGATGGGAGTCCCCATTTGTGACATTGTGAACCCACAATGCAATAAGTAGATGACACACACATACCCACTCTCAACATGCACACACACAAAGAAAGAGTATTTTCATTCAGGAAAAGTAAAAACTGACACTGCAACTGTCCTCAACCTCATCCTCTTCAGGTACTATGAGAACCGGACAGGTGAGCGCTTCTCTGCATTGGATGGTCGCCTGAACTCCATCTCGATGGAGATTGACACAATCTCCTCCAGCATCAACGCCACTGTCAGCCACGTCCAGAGCATGTACAAGTACATCAACATCGAGAGCTCGTCCTGCCAGAGTCGCATGGGCAGACACACAGAAGATCTACAGGTAGTAAAACACGAAAGAATTTGTTCTTCTTGCTTATATATCTATCACACAAAAAGCATATATGGCCTATATATATGTCCTCGTTCAGACTGCCAGCCCATATCTGTTTTTTTGCAATTCTAATCAGATTTCCATACTTGCGTCTCAGTCTGGAATCTGGTGGCTCAAATTGGATTTCGAAGTGTCTTTTGTAAATTGTCACTGTATCGCTGAAGTAGGGCTTTTCCAGCTAAGCTGCGGGTGCATCTCAACCCCAGGCATTGAATTGTACTAATGAGAAACATCTGACATACTGGACACTTTAGAAATTAACTCTGGGGTTGATGACATTGTATACGACCCAACGTTACTAACCCTAAGATCCCTGGAGCGCTGCATTAAAAGACTTACCTCATTTTGTCCAGAGGCTCACATGAGCAGAGAGCAGCTCCAAAGAGGGCTCCTGTGCAATGGTGTCCCTTCCAGAAGTTTTGCAATCCAGCCTGAATATTTTCTGTGATCAATTATCCATTTTTGCGTGTTAAAAATGTTGTTTGCCTCCCTTTGTCATGCTTTAGTGCTGGAAAGCTGTGTCATCAGCATAGCTATGTAGTCACGTCATTACCATAACAATCAGATAGGTTGGTGCAAATAACAGATCTGATTTGAGAGGCAAATCTGATCTGCCTGCAGTCTGAATGTAGTTTTAGGTGTCATCCTGCATCCAACATTAGACTTGCACTCTGTGTCTAACTGCCTGTTAGTGTATTTAATTCATGGCCATGTGTGTGATTGGTTGTCATTTTTATGATCCTCAATGTAAAGTTTTGTCTGATGCTACTGCAGTTATGATGTTTAAGAACAAAATGGTAAAAAGTTAGTTATAACTAGTGAGCATCTTTAATTTCTTTGTAAAAACTGTTTGCACATCTGCTTAATATTATTGAGAGTGCTACTAACCATGCTTCCATTAAGCTGTCAAGCGAATTGTAAGCAAACTTTTGAAATGTGTCAAAAAAGAAATGCAGATTGGACGTATTTCCATCAAGTGATTTGGAGCAAATAAACTAGGCTACACAAAGCATAGTTTTGTCTAAAGCTAATGACAGCTAATATTGGCCATGTTTTATGCGGTCCAGAGATGAAAACTTAATTAATGCACTGATTCTAATGCACAGAAAGACACTGACAACAGAAAAAGCTGATCAGATCACTAACAATATCAACATTTGGTGCCACATATTGATTTTTTATTTTTGGAGCTGGACCATTCATTAGGAGTGCTACTGGAATATATACATATATACTAGGGCCGTAACGGTACTTGTATTTGTGTCAAACCGTTCTGTACGCGACTTTCGGTTCGGCACGACCCTGTACCGAATTGTTGGGCGCAGGATATTATTTTATTTTATTTTGTTTTATTTTAATTCCGTTTTTGCGAGCCGAACCATTTAAAATATCTAGTTCCCCGACGGACATAATTGAGTGACGGACCGAGTCCCGTAAATCTCTGCTTTCACTTTGTGCAGCGCATTCTCGCATTTTGACAACATGGCAAGTGAGCCTGACGAACCTGGAGACCCACCCGCAAACCTTAAGTCCTCCGTTTGGGAACACTTTGGTTTCAGGGTAAAATACAAAGATGGAAATAAACAAGTTGACAAGACAAAAGCAGTGTGCCGACACTGCAGAACAGCGGTCG